AGCTCACTTTACTGTAAGAATACACATGTGACAGTACAAAATAAGTGTTGTTTATGTAATTGGAGAGACCTCTGGTCAACCATTGTTATTAGGTTTCAGGGAGAGTGAAAAGTTGTACATGGATTTTCAACTGGGCGAGGGGACTTGTCAGCTTCCAACCCCCATGTTACTCAGCTGTCAACTGCATGTAAAATTTCCCTTCTGTACTCTTCCCTATAACTGCCTGGAGACGCCAGTGTGGAAAGCAATTTCTCCAAATCAAAGCAGAAATCCTTACCCTTGTGTGATGGCTGCTCCCAAGTTGTCTCCATCTTTCATCCTCCACCCCCTCAGTGGGGACCACTTAATTTTTGTCATGAATCTTTTGGGGTTCAATGATAATGAAATCCAACAGATACAGAGGGCATTCTCCATTTCCCTTGCCCTGACTCCCTAAAGCTCCTGTAGTAATAACACTCTTTTGCATTTGACTGCTCTCACAGCCAGGAAGTCCCCTGGCTTTGGCACATCTGTACAAAATCAATGTCCTGTTATACTTGATCTTTTATATTTCTTTTATAACAGTACCCAGTGTCTGGTGCCTTGGATCCTTCCTGGGGGCAGAGGCATAGGCTATTTCAGTTGTCCTTTCTCTTTGGACACTAGGTTCTCTTTTCTTTCTTGCTACTCTTCTCTCTTCAACCTGGGGCTTTGGCATCTGTGGTACAGTGTCAGGCTGCCTTCCCATCTGACCTGCGTGTGTCACCATCCACTCCAGAACCCGGGGGCCATCACTGGAGAAGAGCTAGGTCCTCAGGCCCTGTCCATTGTCTCTCTTGCTGTGGGTGATTCATCTTTCTCTTGACTCCAGTGACAATGGGCTGCTGCAGACCTTCGTGTCTGGCTGCTAGGCGTTTCCCATTTAGACTGCTCTCAGTGACTGGGGAGAATGTTCTGGAAGTATGTGCTCCACGGGGCACTGACTGTGCCTCTCTTCCCATCTTCATCGTGTTTCCAGATGTCTGAGACAAACGTGGAGTGCAAAGAAATAGCCATGGATACTTTTCAGGTCCACTGCTAGTGTGCCTAGGTGGGGAGTCACTGCTTTCGTGTCATGAAGTCCAGGAGGATGCTAGAGAGACCAGGCCCTGCAGGATGGAGCGCCAGACTTTGAGGCTTGTGTCCCTTTACCCCAAAGTGGCCGTGATGGGTGAGCCACCTTGTGTTAGCCAGGCTGCACACAGGCTGCCAGTTTTTCTGTTAGCAAAGGGTGGAGGGAGGGGCCTTGGATGGAGGGGCAGGTCCGCATTTTTGGTGCAATACTGCCATCAAGAGGAAATGCTTTTGCAAATCTCGCAAACCTCGTACCATCACTTCCTGGGGAGGAGTGACAAAGGAGTGAGGCATGGGAGAAGGACGGTGTCCCTGGGAGGTGAAGAGGTCCACTAGGCACCGGGGTAAGCGTGGCACAAAGCTGAGTCAGGCCATGGGAGCATCAGAGACAGGCACGGATACAGGATCTTGGTCTCCAAACCTGGAGGTCTGACACAGGGAGCAAAGGTTTGGGATCTTGGTGGCTGCCATGTCTGGACAGGACTAGAAAAATCGGCTCCAAAGGAGCCCAGGCCAGGGGGCTGTGGGTATTTGGCCATGTGTCCCTTCCATTAGGCAAGAGAACACATTTGGCCTGGGTAGGCCCAGGGGGTTGAACCTTTTGTGTTCAACCTGTTTTCCTCACCTTGGGGCCAGGTCCTGATGTATATGGTCTGATTTCTCCCTAGCTTAAAGTGGTCTCCATTTGGGGCGCCTGAGTGGCTGAGTCGGTTAAGGGTCCATCTCTTGATTTTGGTTCAGGTCATGATCTCAGGGTTGGGGGATAGAGCCCCACATTGGGCTCTGCTGGGTTTGGAGCCTCCTTAAGATTCTCTCCCTCGGGGCGCCTGGGTGGCTCAGTCGGTTGGGCGACTGCCTTCGGCTCAGGTCATGATCCTGGAGTCCCGGGATCGAGTCCCGCATCGGGCTCCCTGCTCGGCGGGGAGTCTGCTTCTCCCTCTGACCCTCCTCCCTCTCGTGCTCTCTGTCTCTCATTCTCTCTGTCTCAAATAAATAAATAAAATCTTAAAAAAAAAAAAAGATTCTCTCCCTCTGCTTCCCCCCACCTCCGACCCATTCCTGCTCTTTCTCATGCTCTCTCTAGAAAAAGAATGATAAAAAAAAAAAAAAAGTGGTCTGTCTGCCCCTGCTGCAGACTGATGGGTGCACCACAGAACATATACCCCACGTGGGAAATCCCAGGAGTCTTCACAAAGAGGATCCAGTTCATACATCTGTATATTGGGAGGTTGCTATGGAATATGGTGTTCCTGGGCTGCAAAGTTCCTGAAGTGTGTGAGGAGAATACCTGGATTCTCTCACTTTGGGGGATGATGTCCACCTCAAGATGCTAATCCTGGTCACGTCTGCTCCTCTTCCCTCCCATCCTTAGTGCATATCCACACCCTTTGTCATATGGGACAGGTAGGGCTGTCTGGGATATAGTGGGGCCTGGGCCTCAGATTCTTTTTAGTGGGAACCAAAGTAAACAAAACAACTCTAGCTCTAACTTGTGGTGCACTGGCATTATTCTTCCTTGTCTGGGCCTACTACCAAAATCATCAAGAAAAAAAAATTTTTTTTTAAGATTTTATTTATTCATTTGAGACACAGAGATGCAGAGAGCGAGCATAAGCAGGAGAGGTAGAGGGAGAGGGAGAAGCAGGCTCCCCACTGAGCAGGGAGCCCGATGTGGGGCTGGATCCTAGGACCCTGGGATCATGAGCCGAAGGCAGGCGTTTAACCATCTGAGACACCCAGGCGCCCCAAGGAAATTCTTTATCCTGTCTGCAAAATGCCGCCCTGACAAGGTGGCTGTCACCTCCCCTTTCTCCTGTTCCTGTGGTGTCTTGGCCTGGGCACTCCAGTCCTGGGTTCCTTGTTGCCCTGAGACCCGAGGAACTCCACTGGCCGAACTTGCTTTGGACTGACTTTTGGATCCACACGCCAGATGACCTGGATTATGAGCTTCAGGGACTGGGTTGTTAACATGGCGGCTGCCGAGGCCACGCCCCCACAGCCCGGGAGGCCTGCATTCTTTGTAGCCGGAGCTGGGCTCCGTCCATCCTGTGTTGTTCCCTCACTGATATTGGAGGTTGCCAGGCTGCTGGGTCTGATCCAGAATGTTCTGGGTGCCCCAGTCCCACCCTCCTTCCCACCATAGGGCTTCCTCAGAGGATCCACAGACAGCATCTGCAGGCTTTGCTCAGAAAGTATCCCCCTGATGGCCCTGTTGCTCCAGAAGTGCCAACACAAGGCTTTTGCCAAGTGTGGCTGCTCAGCCTTTTGAGAATCAGAAAAGGCCCCCGGTTGGGGGCGGTGGGGGAGGCTGGTGTTAAAAGTCATCCATGCTGGGCGCCTGGGTGGCTCAGTTGGTTGAGCGACTGCCTTCGGCTCAGGTCATGATCCTGGAGTCCCGGGATCGAGTCCCACATCGGGCTCCCTGCTCGGCGGGGGGTCTGCTTCTCCCTCTCCCACTCCCCGTTTGTGTTCCCTCTCTCGCTGTGTCTTTCTCTGTCAAATAAATTAAATCTTGAAAAGCATGGATGACTTTTTTTTTTTTTTTTTAAGTGGGGTTGACTCTACTAGGCTGTTGGGGCAGGTCCTGGTTTTTTCCTTTGGGTTTCTTGCTGGCAGTAGGAATATCCATATAGACACTCAAGGAATACATCCATCACCACATCTCAGAGTTTTAAGCCTGCATTTCCTAGCAATAGGGACCCTGTTTTCTCTGCATTCTTGTGGCTGGAGATCCATATGGGTGTTCTGGGGCAGAATCCTAGTTTTCCAAGGACATTAATTTATAGCAATAGGTGTCAGGATGACCTGTGTGGTCCCCTGTTCTCCTTGAGGTATTGCCTCTCTTCTGTGCTCAGCGAAGTACTACATCTAGCTTTAGGGCTCAGGAGCCAGCCCTAGAGGGAATAGGCAATTATGGCAGCAAGAGGAACTGATAAGGTCCAGGTCTGGTTAGAAGAGAGGAGGTGGATTGCCCAGGCTCACCTCCAGGAGCCTCAGGCAGTCACTTTGCCGTTGGGTGCCCCCAGGATGGTTGTGGACAGGTAGGGGGCGGTGAGGTGCATGGGACAGTGGCCCCGTGGCTCCGTCTACACAGTTATGACCTTGATGAGGATCATTTGCTCAGCAGCCTTTTCTAAGCAGTTCTTGAGAGAATGTCTGTACTCTACCCTCAAACCCCCAGTCATTCGTTTATTCGTACATATATAAATCGTGTGTATATGGAAATATGTATTTCCAAACTCCTGTACTTTTCCGTAATGCCTTGGAGATGCTACTGTGGGTAGAAATTTCTCCCAGAGCAAAAGCTCTTAACCATTGCTTGGGGACCGTTCCCAATTTGTCCATCTGTCTTCTAATCCCCTTCCTGCATTGGGAACCTCTTGTTGTTTTTCATTATGTATGTTTTAGCATTGAATGCCATTGACAACAATCAGACACAGAGGGCCATCTACATTTCACCTGTTTTTGCCTCCACAATGCTCACAGAATAATATACATTCTTTTGTCTTTGGCTGCTGTCCCAGCATCTAGGTGGCCTTGGCACATCTTGCCAGAGTAAACGTCCTGTTCCGCTTGAACCTGTCCTTTTCTTACAGCTACCCCGGGTAGGGTGCCTGTGTCTCTGCCTGGGGGCAGGAACATAGGTTATTTCATGTGTCCCTTCTCTTTGGACTTTAGATTTCTCTTTTCAGCCTCTTCTATGACAGGAGTGGCTCTGAGGCTGCGGACAGGTTTCTGTTTACCAGAGTTCAAGAGCACATGACCGGATACGTTTTCCAGTGTCATTGTCCACCCAGAGGAAATCAATCAGTTGGTCAAACTGTAAGTCAGCCACATCCTGGAGTAAATGCCTTCATCACCAGAAAGTCAATGTAGTGGGTCTGTTTGGGGCCAGAGAGGAGAAAGTTGGTGCCCATTTACCTGCATGTCACATGACCTGCTGGTCAGTTGAGGATCCATTTATAGAGAAGGATCCTAAGGATATAGGACTCTGAATTCTTTGGGTCAGGGTACACCATTGGTAGGGGGTAGGGGTGCAGGTCTTGTTTTGTTTCTCTCCCTTGCTTACTTAATAAGCTTTAAAAGCCTTCGGCTGAGATGGAGCTTGCAAGGCAGTTCCAAAGGAAAATGGCCTTCATCATTGTGAGCCAGTGTTTAGGGCTTGAAATGTCCATGTCATTTGTGATAAAATTGGGTTGGTGGGAAATGGGAAAGCCTGGTAATGAGTCTGGGGCTGGGGTACTTTCTGAATTGATTTTCGCTGATGTGTATACTACTCTGAATATGCTAAAAACCACTGAATTGTTCACTTTAAAGAAGTGAATTGTACAGTATATACTGCAGTTAAAGCAGTACTCAGAGGGAATTATAATTGTATGAACATGTATTTTAAAAAAAGAGGAGACTTTAAATCAACAACCTAACTGTTGATTTTTAATCTTAGAAATCAGAAGATCAGCAAGCTAACACAAAGCAAAAGCAGAGAGAAGGAAATAATTAAGGCAAGGATAAAGGAAATACAGAATAGGAGAAGAAAACTAAAAGTCAGTTCTTTGAAAAGATTAAATTGATAGATCTTTAGCTAGACTGAATGGAGAAAATAGAAATAACTGAAGTTAAAAATGTAAGGTAAGGGGACATTTATGGCCTATGTCAGAGAAATCAGATGAGTGACTGGATTGTATTATGAACAACTGTACTCAACAATTAAATAATAAGGTAAAATTAGTAGAAAGACACAAGGTACCCAAAGCTGACTCAAGAATGTATAGATGATCTTAACAGACCTTTAGCAGTTACATATTTTGATTAAGTAGTTAAAAATCTCCTATCACATACAATTCCAGGACAAGATGTCATCACTGGGAAATTTCACCACTTAAAGAGTAATTGGCACTAATCCTCAAATCTTCTAATAAATTGGGAACACATCTGTATTAGGGCTCCCCAGAGAAATTGAGCCATATAGAGAAATGGAGAGATTTATTTTATGAAATTGGTTTGTGTGATAGTTGAGGCTGAGAAGTACAAAATCTGCACGGCAGGCTGGCATGCTTGAGATCCATGAGATGGAGTGTTATGGCAGAGTGGAGGTAGAATTCCCTCTTCTTTGTGGGACTTCTATTGTTTTTCTCCTATGGCCTTCAACTAATTGGATAAAGCTCACCTGTCTTGTAGATAGTAATCTGATTTAATGATTGAAATGTTAATCTCATCTAAAAATACCTTCACGTCACCATTTAGATTGGTGTTGGACCAAACATCTAGGTGCCATGGCTTAGCCATGTTCACACATGAGATTAACTGTCATAGCATCCTATGTCATTCTTTGAGACCAGCATTACCCTGGTACCAAAGCCAGGCAAAAATAACACAAGAAAACTACAGGCCAATATCTTGTCTGACTATACACATAAAAATCCTCAGCAAAATACTAGCAAACATAATCCAAGCATATTTAAAGAAAGATTATATACCAAGATCAAATGAGTTTTACTGCGAGAATGCAAGGGTGGATGAACATGAGGAAATTAATCCATGTAAAATAGAACGAAGGTGAAAACCCACGTGATCATCTCAATTGATGCAGAATAACCCCTTGACAAAATACCCTTTTTTAAAAAAAAGATTTTATTTATTTATTTAATAGAGAGAGACACAGCGAGAGAGGGAACACAAGCCTGGGGAGTGGGAGAGGGAGAAGCAGACTACCCATTGAGCAGGGAGCCCGATGCGGGGCTTGATTCCAGGACCTGGGATCATGACCTGAGCCGAAGGCAGACGCCCAACAACTGAGCCACCCAGGCGCCCCTGACCCATGACTTTTAATTGGTTTGTTTTGTCACTCAAATGTACACTTGATAATACTGTAGGTCACCATGTCAAATCCTGATAATGAATTTTTCAAAGGTGCAGAATATAAGATCAACATGCAAACATGGTAGTGTTGGCCATAAATGCAACCACATGTATCTACTTCTGGTCGATGGAAGCTTACACACAGACACTAGAAAGAAAAGGCAATGTGAAGATAGAACAGAGATATATGGCCATGAACCAAGGGATGCCAAAAGTTCTGGAAGGTGGAAAAGGCAAGGAAGAAATTGTCTCCTGTAGCTTCTAGGGAATGTGGCCCTACCAACACCTCAATTCTTCTGCCCCCCAGAACTGTGAGAGAGAAATTTTTGTTGTTACAAACCACTCAGTTTGTGGTAATTTGTTGTGGCAGCCCTAAGAAACTAATACAATTATCCTTACACCACTTTAATTCCTTTTTACCTTCTACACGAATTTCATGTTCCCTATTGCATTTCCAATTATTTAGATACTGTACTGAAAAAGAAACGTAAGATGGTGAGTTCACAAAGGGAAAGAGTCAGCAATCATATTCTCTTAACATCATACCATACTTGTACACAGCTATGCAGTTACTTGCACATTAATGACAACCAGTGCCTAGAAGATGCCCTTTGATCATTTGACTTTGTGGAAAAACCTCTAGTCAGGGTTTTTGCCTTTGATTATTAGACTCCAGTCTGGAGAATCTAGTGCTGCTATTCAAGAATCAATACATGGAGTTCAGGTTTATATATTTATTTCTGCTTTGTTTCATAATTTAGAGCAGACAGTATGAATATGGAGCAGGACATCCCTGAACAAAGGTAATAGTGGATATAATATGCCAGTTAGTAGGGGCTCCTGGGTGGGCTCAGTTGTTAAGCGTCTGCCTTTGGCTCAGGTCATGATCCCAGGGTCCTGGGATCGAGCCCCGCTTCGGGCTCCCTGCTCCGCGGGGAAGCCTGCTTCTCCCTCTCCCGCTCTCCCTGCTTGTGTTCCTGCTCTCGCGATCTCTCTGTCAAATAAATAAATAAAATCTTAAAAAAAAAATAATATACCAGTTAGTAGAGGTAAAGGAGTTGGAGGAGGAGGAGCAATTCCTAGGGGTAGAGGTGGTGCTGGGAGAGCCGGTGGCAGGGAGGTCCTGGAATTTATGAGCAACCTCCAAGTCCATGTTCCTATAATATAAATAATTCAATGTTTAAATACTTTTAATAGAATATGCAGCCCAGAGTGCACAGCAATAGACACTTGTGACTTTACAGATTATATACTGCATATCAATTTATCAGCATTCAGTGACAGTACATGCAAAGGACTTGTATAGATATTCGATGAGCACTTTAAACACTACACAGTGACTACTTCCGCTAACACTCTGATACTAGGAGAGCTGGCCTCCTCATCAAAAGCCTTGTGAAATAGTACTGCAAAATAATGAAAACCTAGATTTCATGATAAACCTATGCAAAAGGGAATTCCTCTATCCGGCTGGGACTGTTAGACTAGTTGGTTCACATATGGATAATACAAGGTCATGGGTTGATCCCTAAGGGAGCAGAGCGCCAAGAGTCCGTCTTACAGCAGTGGGGACTGAGCTGTTTTCTAATACCAATAACTAAAAATAAGTAATATCCATTTGCATAGGAACCATGCTTATCAAAAATTTTTCCTCACTTTTGATCGTCATTAGGAGTCCATAATGTAATGTAGTTAGGAAAACTAGTTTGATCTCACTACTTAAAAAGAGTTACCAAACTAGGAATTTAAGTGACTGATGCAATGTCTTGGATTTAATCAGTTCTAAAGCTTAGACCTCCTAATAAAGATTTTAAGTGTAATGGGATATTTTGGCATAGATAACTTTATATATCCACCTACATTTCCTTTTTTGACATGATGGTAGTTGAGGTTTAAAGAGTTGTAAAAAGCTTCTGGAATTATTAAAATTATTGAGGATTTTCTTTTTGCAAGGAATTAACCATGGACCCAATTTTTCAAATCATCATGAAAATTTCCTCTCAGCAATATCCAGGCCAATTTAATGAGCTTTTTCCCCACCTGAAAAAGATACGTTGTTTTGAAAAATCTTATTTGTAGAGTTATTGAAACTAAAATGCGTAATTGCAAGTCTGGTTGTGGTCACATTTTCCTTCCATCTGACAAGATCATTTTCTTTTATTTATTTGAGACAGAGTGTGCACGAGCTGGAGGGAGGGAGAAGATGACACTGAGGGAGAGAAAGAACCTCAAGCAGACTCCCTGCTAAGTGCAGAGCCCTACTGGCCTGGATCCCAGGACCCTGAGATCATGACCTGAGCTAAAACCAAGAGTCAGATAGATGCTTAACCAACTGAGCCACCCCGGCGCCCCTAGATTATTCTCTACCATTGAACTCAGTGTGACAGGACAAAAAGTCTATGTAGCTTCATTACCTTGGTCTGATGTTGCTGGAATTCTGTTCCAAGGTCTTTGAATTTTTATTCCTTGAAGCTCATCTTGAACTTGTGGTCAGGTTCTGAATTCACTTCTGTGCATTTATCACCACTATGAATGTACAGTTTCAGGAAGGCCTTAAATAATAATACATGTTAAATGGAGGATTATTTGCTTGCTGAAGTCTCAGACACTCAGAAGTTCAGAGTTCCTGATTATTTTCATGACAGTTCTCTGTGGAGGCAGGGCTGGTGGCCGTCGTGGTAGCAAGATGAAATACACCCCTGACTTAAGGTAAAAAACCATTTCTCACTTCTGGAAAATAAAAATGAAAAAAATGAGAGGACAGAGTAGTTTTTCTTCATATACCGTGACCACATTTATTTTTCTGTTGAAAATTGATTGTACTTAACTTCTAAGACTTAATTAGAAAGCGAATCCTCATAATAAGCCAATGGCTCAGCAGGAATTCTCATTCATGCCTGGTGGCAATGCTAAATGCCACTTTAGAAGACAGTTTTCATACAAAAGTAAACATACTCTTAAAAAGATTTTTTTAGAGAGGGTACAGGTGGGGCGGGGGGCAGAGGGAGAAGCAGACTCCCCTCTGAGCAGGGAGCCTGACGTGAGGCTCTATCCCAGGACCCTGAGATCATGACTGAGCCGAAGGCAGACGTTTAACCAACTGAGCCACCCAGGTGCCCAAAAGTAAACATCCTCTTACCATAAGATCCTGCAGTTGCACTTACTGGTATTTATTTACCTGAGTGAGTTGAAAACATGTCCGCACAGAAGCCTGTACGTGAATGTTTATAGCAGCTTTATTCGTAATTGCCAAAACATGGAAGCAACCAAGATGTCCTTCAGTAGGTGAATGGATAAATGAATGGTAAATGTAAATGGAATAAAAGAAATAAACAGTCAAGCTACAAAAAGACACCGGGGGATGGGGGAGGGTGGCACCTGGGTGGGGTCCTGGGATTGAGCCCTGCATCGGGCTCCCTGTTTGGCGGGAAGCCTGCTTCTCCCTCTCCCACTCCCTCTGCTTGTGTTTCCTCTCTCGCTGTCAAATAAATAAAATCTTAAAAAAAAAAAAAAGATCAGTAGTTAACAGGGATTCCACAGGAGGGATGAGATGAATAGGTGGAACACAGGGAGGTTTTTTTAGGGCAGTAGAACTCTGCTGTATGATAATGTAATGGTGGATACATACCCTTATGTATTGTGAAAACCCACAGAAATACAACACAAATGACTGTGGACTTCATTACCCCTTGTAACAAATGTACCACAGTAATGCAAACTGATAATAGAAGAAACTAGAAGGAGGGAGTAGGTGAGGGATATGTGAACTCTGTACTTTCCAGTCATTTCTTTATAAACCTAAAACTACTCAGAAAATAGTCTATTAATTTTTAAAAAAAGCTATCAAGCAGTTCAGTTTCTTAACTGTATAGCCTTGAAAAGAGACTGTACTGATAGAATGCTCAAATGAATGGACATTAATGCAAATTAGAATCTTTCTACTTCAACCTTCATTCTCTAGCATCCAAAAAGAGGTGCTTCTGAGTGTAAAATAGTTAGGTCTTCTGAGATGGCTGAAGCAAACCAGTTCCATGAAATGTTATGAGAATAAAAGTGGGAGGTTAAAATATAGTACTAGACCAGAGAGAGCATCTGACAGGGGTGATGGGTTCCAGAATATACCACCCCAAAGTATGTCTCTTTGGAACAGGGACTGTTTTAAGCTAAAGGCCACTGAGAACCAGCCAACATAGGAAAGGTTCCAAGAACAGCACAAGCTTTCTTTTTTTTTTTTTTAAGATTTTATTTATTTATTTGAGAGAGAGAGAATGAGAGACAGCACGAGAGGGAAGAGGGCAGAGGGGGAAGCAGACCCCCCGCTGAGCAGGGAGCCCGATGCGGGACTCGATCCCGGGACTCCAGGATCATGACCTGAGCCGAAGGCAGTCGCTTAACCAACTGAGCCACCCAGGCGCCCACAAGCTTTCTTTTGTAAAGGAAATTTCCATTGGTAAAAAGTCTCTCTCATTACTATTTAATTCTTTCCCTAGCTTTATTGAGATATAATTGACATATAACATGGTGTAAGTTTAAGGTGTACCATGTGATTTGATATACATATATCAAAGATAAACATACATATCATGAAATGATTACCACAATAAGGTTTAGATAACATGCATCACCACTATGTAGTTACCTTTGTGTGTGGTGAGAACTTTTAAGATCTCTTGGCAACTTCGCCGTTAACTATAGTCACCATGCTGTACACCAGATCCCCAGAATAAATAATTTTATTATTATTTTAAAAAGATTTTATTTCTTAGAGAGAGCACAAGCAGGGGGAGCGGCAGGCAGAGGGAGAAGCAGGCTCCCCACGGAGCAGGAAGCCTGTTGGGGGACTCGATCCCAGGACCCTGGGATCATGACCTGAGCTGAAGACAGACGCTTACAAGACTGGGGTAGCCACCCAGGTGTCCCTTATTCATTTTATAATTCGAAGTTTGCACCCTTGGACCACCTTTACTCATTTCCCCCACCCCTGCTTCTGGTAATCACCAGTCTACTCTGTTTCTTTGAATTAGTTTCTTTTTTAGATTCCACATATAAGTAAGGTCATACAGTATTTGCCTTTCTCTGTTTGACTTCTTTCACTTAGCACAATGCCCTCAAATTTCATCCATGTTGTTGTAAGTGGTCACATTTTCTTTTCTAGGACTGAATAATATTCCATGGTGTGTGTAATATATGTATATATCACATTTTCTTTATTCCTTTACCATTAGACACCTAGGTTATTTCCATGCTTTGGCTATTGTGAATAATGATGCATCAGTGAAGATGCAGGTGCAGGTATCTCTTCAAGATAGTGATTTTATTTCCTTCGGATAAATACCCAGTAGGAGTGCTGAATCATATGGTAGTTTTATTTTTAATTTTTTGAGGAGCCTCCATACTGTTTTCCATAGTGGCTATACCAATTTTATATTCTCACCAACAGTGTATAAGAGGTCTCTTTTCTCCACATGCATGCCGAACTTAATGTCTTTTATCAGCTTTTATGAATGCAGAAGGCATGACTTAAATATGCATTAACAAACCCTTGTTTACCATACATTTCCTGGTTACCCTCCCATACCTTGCCTCCACTCCTTCACCCCTCACCAGAAACCCAAACTTCCTTTTCCTTGTTTAGCCTAAGGTGGTTTTTATAAGCCCAAATTCAAACCACCCCTTTGGGTTACTCATTGCTGGGTACTCCCAATGTGTACTTAAGCTATGCACATGTTAATAAAGTTCTGTTTTTGTCTTGTTGAGATTTTCCTCCACCAGGGACAATGATCTGGTGCATCCTGTCCCAGCCCTACCTCATCAGGCTTCTAAATAGGTTCAAATAAGCCTGAAAATTTGAGTGAACACAGCCTAAGTCTGGCTCTATCAAGATAGATAATACTTCCATCTTTTTTTTCCCTCTTTGTTGCAAATGTCACCCTGGGTCATTTTGGAAGGTCACACACATCCCAATGATGTGATTTCTGTTTCTAAAAAAGATACATCTTTCTAGTAGAATTGTCTGAGAGTCTGTGGAATAAAAATTTTAACTGTTAGGAAATATTCATTCCCAGCATAGATTTGGCCTTTAGAAATTATAGTCATTTAGATCCAACCCTAAAGAAAGATTGGGTGAGCAATATGGATAATAATAGTAATGACTGGGATCAAACCTGAAATATTACTTAATAATTATTTCATCCATTCATATCTGAGTCCCTGGAAAATATCCCACTGTGGCTTATCCAAATCTTCTCTAGTATATTTAAATTTCAAACACTCCTCAAAGTCTTCATGGTCAGTCAGTGACCTTGTTTCTGGGTTCACTGAGAAGATGTGACCTTGGTCAGCAGCTTCACTGCTATCCATGTTAAGATTCCTCTGAATCCGGATCGCCTGGGTGGCTCAGTTGCTTAGGTGTCTGCCTTCAGCTTGGGTCGTGATCCCAGGGTCCTGGGATTGAGTCCTGCATCGGGCTTCTTGCTCAGCAGGGAGCCTGCTTCTCCCTCTGCCTGTGCTCTCTTTCTCTCTGACAAATGAATAAATTAAAAAAAAAAAAGATTTCTCTGAATCCATATTCCCATTTCCCCTCCTCTAAAATTAACTTCTCATGTGCTTTTTGAGCATAGTGCCCAAACAAGGACACCGTCCACTATTTCCTTCTGTAAAAGGTTTATAGCTACATTTGCGGAGAGGCGCATAACCTACTTGTAATTTAAAAATTAACCACACCAGTCCTATGTGAGCGGAAAGAGGTCTTCTTGGAAGTCCACTAATCTTATCCTCTCTTCTTAGTGATGAAGCTACGATCCAAGAAATATAAATGACTTAAAACCACAACCAATTGGTGGCAAAGTTGAGCTCAGATCTTACAACGAATTCATTATCATTTTATTACTACTTTATATTGCCTCTTTTTTTTTTATTCTTATGTTAATCCCCATACATTACATCATTAGTTTTAGATGTAGTGTTCCATGATTCATTGTTTGTGCATAACACCCAGTGCTCCATGCAGAATGTGCCCTCAATACCCACCACCAGGCTAACCCATCCTCCCAACCCCCTCCCCTCTAGAACCCTCAGTTTGTTTTTCAGAGTCCATCGTCTCTCATGGTTCGTCTACCCCTCCGATTTCCCCCGCTTCATTCTTCCCCTCCTGCTACCTTCTTCTTCTTCTTTTTTTTTTTTCTTAACATATATTGCATTATTTGTTTCAGAGATACAGATCTGACTTTATATTGCCTCTTAAAAGGACTCAGAATAAGAGAAGGAATCCAGATAGTCACTGGAAGAAAGTTCTTCCATTTGATAACAGAATAAAATGGAGCAAACATTGCTAAGAGGGTAATTTAAAATGGAGCCAGGAGGACACTGAAAAAGTGGGACCTATGTTTCCTGTCTCAAACTCTCAGAATTGGTGCTGACTTCAGCTAAAAGCCAAGGCATCTGCTGCATGTTCGAATTGAACATAAATGGGGGTGCCTGGGTGGCTCCGTCAGTTAAGTGTCTGGCTCTTGATTTCAGCTCAGGTCATGGTCTCAGGGTCATGAGATCAAACCCTGCATTGGGGGCGTGGAGCCTGCTTAAGATTCTCTCTCTCGCTCTGACCCTCCCTCCCCTTGCTCACATGCAGGCATATGCTCTCTCTAAAATAAATAAAATCTTTAAAAAAGAATTGAACATAAATGGACTTTACACCTAGCACTACTCTTAACAACCAGTCACATTTCATTCAAAACAACTTATGTAAATGCCCTCTTTCCTCCTTAAAAACCCTCAGCTTTGTCTCTCCAGAGCACACTTTTTTTTTCCCCCCCCAAGATTTTATTTATTTATTTGAGAGAGAAAGAATGAGAGACAGAGAGCATGAGAGGGAGGAAGGTCAGAGGGAGAAGCAGACTCCCCGCCAAGCAGGGAGCCTGATGCGGGACTCGATCCCGGGACTCCAGGATCATGACCTGAGCCGAAGGCAGTTGCTTAACCAACTGAGCCACCCAGGCGCCCCAGAGCACACTTTTGATTTCAGTTGACTCTGTCTCCCAGATTGCAAATCCCAAGACCCCCAATAAACGTACAAATTTTATTTTGCAGATTGCAGTTCTGCCTTTCAATATTACATGGTGTCAGGAGTGACGTCCAAAGTGACCAGTCGCCATCTCCAGCACCGCCATGGATTTGAGTGAGGTACCTACAAGAGTCTATTTCGTGCCTCTCCTCAGTGGCTTTGGGTCATGGTGGTTAAGTCCTCTTGGTCCTGAACCTCGAGGTGTAGGCCTTTAGTTGGGTGTTCTGTCTTGCTGGCTTCCATCTTCACTCATATTGGAGAGGATTCTGTCTTCACGTTTCCTAGTGGAAGATTCCTGTTTAGTAGTCTTCTGAGTACTAACTCATGGGAAATCCTGCTTCTAAGAAGGGCTTATATGACCAACCCTCTTCTGGGACTCCTGCAGGTTTTATGTTTAAAGAATATGGTCCTTCCTGCTGTAAATTTTTGCCCTGTTGGACTCCTATTACCTGGGATGATTTAAAACTCCACTGGCTATGATGGGGCAAAAATTAGTTCACTTGCATGCACAATTGGAAAAAGGCTATAAAGCCAAACAAAGCCAGTGGAAAGCTTCTTTTAATTGGTATCTAGAGGCCTTAAAAAGAAAAACTGAGAAGTTTGCTTCCCTTCAGGCAGTTAGCTTCCAATTCAGATCTTTCCAAGAGGCTTCCAAAATTAGAAAAACAGGCCAAATCCTGACAAACTTCCCCTTCCTTCACACTCACCCACCACTCCATCTCCTTTTACTCTATATCTATCCTCAGCTCAACATCCCTTATACGCTGGAGACCCTCACCCCTCTCCAGATCCTATGGGACCTAAAGCTCCCCTTTACCCCCATCTTATTGCTGCCCCATCTAAGGTTAAGCCTGGGGAAGCAGGAGTTGCCTAGACTTCCTTCCCTCCTGGTCAAAAGCTGAATTACGGACCACAGCTGAAGAATTCCCCAAAGCCACTGAAGATCTTTATAAATTTGCTGAGGAATTTGCCATTGTGATCCAAACATACGAACTTTTTTTTTTTTTTTCTGATTTAAATCAACTAATCATAATCCTAGTTGATGGAGGACAGGCTAGGAACTGCATGCATCTAGTTGAGGTAACACTAGATGATTTCTCCAAATGGAGAGCCACTGACAGAACAGAAGCCCTTTAAGTGAGAAAGAGACTCTGAAACTATTCCTAAGGCTTTCCCAAAATCCACAGATAGGGGAAAAAAATTCAACAGTGTATTCAAAAACCTGAAGAATCTGTTCTCAATCATTTTAACCAACTAGAGACGATCTTTCCCAAAAACTCTGGCCTTTCTGCTATCGATCAAACCACTTATACCATTTTTAATTCCATCTTTGTTGATGGCTTAGTTGAAGAACTGTCGTTCCTCATAAAGAGAGTTTATTTAAATTGGCGGACTATGCAAACTCCTGATCTTGTTAATCTGCCAGTCCACTAGCTTGACCTTATTCAGAGACTAATAAAAAGAAAGCCACCTAGATTATGAACCTTTAGTTCCAACAGTTAAGAACTAACCAAAGTAAACGCCCATTCAGGGTTGTGGCACTATTCCAAAAGGTACCTGTCATTACTATAAAAAGCTGGAACATTTAAAAACAGATTGCCTAAAACTGAGAAGATTGACCCAAGGCAAGGTCAGTCAACCTTCCCTGTCTCCATTTCAAGTACCCCAGGGAAAGGATCCTTTCACCAATCTCAACAGTAGAGCTGCTCTGAGGACTTATGGAGGCAACTTTATCCCTGTACCCCCCATAGTTAGATCAGTTAGATCAGTTTCTCCCAAAGTATTGGTTTAGAGGAGAGGGAAAATCCCCTCTCTCTATTAGGGCTTTACTAATACTCTGGTTTCTCTTCAGATCGCATAAATCTTTCACCTTTTTCTATTAGGGCTTTACTTACCAGTTTTAGACCCAACCAGTGTCTTCTGTCCCCTTCCTCAAACTGTACAATTGTTTGGGGTTTCTAATCACTCTATGACTGTTTTAAATCTTTTCCCATCCCATTCCAGCTGGGACCTATTCAGAAACATCCATTTCTCCTGACTCCTTTGGCTCCCATTCACTCACTAGGTCGAGATTATCTTGAAGCCCATCAGGCACACATCTCCTTTTCACAAAAGGCTGAAATATTTTTAAATACGGAACCCTGAAATCCAAATCTTCAGGAAAATCCCAAAACCTTAAATCCCTGTCCTTTCTCTAAAACCCCTCCCCAGAACCTCTCCTAGCTCTGTCCCTGAGACACAACCAGTATCAGGTACGTCCATTGCACTGCCCATCAAAATGTAAATTGATAAAAGTACGTACTAAGGCCATCCAAGGAATTAAACCTACCATTTGAGGACTGTTTACAGAAACCTGTAACACCCTCATCCTCCTTGTCTGTAAACCACACGGAAGAGGATTGAAGTTTGTACAGGACCCCAGGGCAATCAATAATATTGTTACTCCTCAGCCCTCTGTAATACCCAGTCCTCACACCTTGCTCATAGCCATTCCTCCTAACAGCAAAACCTTTACCACTGTAGACCCTTGCAGTGCCTTTAGCATACCTGTTGACCCTGAAAGCCCATTGTTATTTGCCTTCATCTGGGAAGGGCAGTATGCATAAACTTTTATGCCACAGGGCTACACTGAAAGCCCCACTTATTTTTCTAAATGCTGAAAGCAGACTTTTTTTTTTTTTTTTTTTAAGATTTCTATTTATTTGACAGAGTACGTGCACAAGCAGGGGAGCTTCAGAGGGAGAGAGAAGCCAAGCAGGGAGCCCGACATGGGGCTCAATCCAAGGACCCCGGGATCATGACCTGAGCCAAAGGCAGACACCCCACCAACTGAGCCACCCAGGTGCCCCGAAAGCAGACATTTTAGACATAGAATTCTCTGAAGGCTCTTCCCTGTTACAGTATGTGGATGACCTGTTTCTTTGTTCTCCTTCTCAAGAGGCTTGTACTGAAGATAGCCTTCACCTTCTAAAGGCCCTGGCTAAAAAGGGATGTAAGGTGTCTAGGGAAAAACTGCGATTTTATTTGCCCCAGGTTAAATACTTGGGACACCATAGTTCAAATCAGGGATTACTCCTTGATCCAAATAGAGTCCAGGGACTGTTGTCTTGCCTACCTCCAGACACCAGCTACGCAGATTTGGGGGCTTAGCTAGATCCTGTAGAAATTGGATAGCTCAATTTCTAGTCTTGGCCCGACTGCTTTTCTCTCTTTTCAACTCTGACAAACCTGACCACCCCCCCCTTACTTGGGACCAAGAAAGTCAAGAAGCCTTCATAAAAATAAAGCATGGCCTCTTGAATCCTCCAGCCCTGGGACACCCAAACTATGACCTACCATTCTTTCTCTTCACCCCTGAAAGAGAAGGGAATGCCCGTGGGGTTCTAACCCAGTGAGATGGGGACCAGTACAGGCCTATGGGCTCCTATTGCCACAGCCAAGGGACTGCCACCCCGCATGAGCGCTTACAGCTGCAGGTGTGAATTACTGGAGAACGCAGAAGAAATGATCATGGGTTCATACTGACTATGTATGTTCTCTCTCCTTCAGCACTCAGCCTCCAGTAGATTAACCTCTCACAAAATTCTTCTGCTATCACCCCCAAATATTATTGCTGCGTGCTGTCATTCCTCAAATCCTACTATCCTGGGGCACCTGGATGGCGTAGTCGGCTAAGCATCCGACTCTTGATCTCGGGTCATGAGCTTACAGTCGTGGGATTGAGCCCTGCGTTGGGCTCCATGCTCAGCGGGAAATCTGCTTGAGATTCTCTCTCCCTCTGCCTCCCCACTCATGCTCACTTGCTCTCTCTGAAATAAATTTTTGTTTAAAAAAAAGGTATTTAAAAAAAAAATCCTACTATTCTGCTGCCTTTACCTTCTGGTGACTGCATCTTCTAACAGACAGACTCCTAGTGCCAAGACAGGATTTACCGGAGCTACCGCTTGAACGTGCAGACTTAGGTCTGGCTTACTGATGGTTCTTACCTTAAAGATAAAACCGGAAACTAGCAAGCTAGTTATGCAGTTGTCTCCCTAACAGGAAATATTGAAGCAGTACCTATCTCTGCAGCCACCTCAGCTCAACAGGCTGAATTATTCACCTTAACCTGAGCCCCACTCCACCCCCACCCCCTGCTGACCCTCTGACATTGGCAGAAGGACAAATCATTAACATTTATATTGACAGCCACTGTGCTTTTGGTATTATACGTGATTTTGATATGCCCTGGAAACAAAGAGGATTTTTAACCTTTGCGACAAGAGATTAAAAATAGTTATATCTTGGAACTCTTGGCTTGGATTCTATACAAAACCCTAAGGCTTTAGTCATTATCAATATTCCTGATCATTCAGTGGCAAACGTGGAGGAAGCAAAGGGGAATGTAGCCACCCAACAGGCTGCCTTTGGAAATTATAATCCACTTTTACCTACTGACTTTACCAAAAAGCTTAAAGAAACACTTAGAGAGGCCCAAGAAATTGCCTCAGGAAAGGATCAAAAATGGTCTGATCAAGGCTGTTGATTTCAGCCTGAATGAAATCTTTGGTATGGGTCAAACAGCAGACCAGTCCTCCCTGATTGCCTCCAAGAACAAATTCTTAATTATATTCATGAACTTAATCATTGAAATATTGGCAAGATGGTCCTTTGGGAAAACGATATTTTTGGAAACCATCTCTAAAAATAGCCCTTCAAGGGGCACCTGGGTGGCTCAGTCGGTTGAGCCTCAGACTCTTGATTTCAGCTTGGATCATGATCTCAGGATCGTGAGATCAAGCCGTGCATTGAGCTCCATGCTCAGCGGAGAGGGGAGTCTGCTGGAGATTCTCTCTTCCTCTCCCCCTCCCCCTGCTCACGCTCTCTCTCAAATAATTTTTAAAAATAGCCCCTCAAATTTATGAAAAATGTCAGATTTGCCCTAAACATAACCCCGGAAACCCCTTCATAGTTCAAAGGGACTTTTGCCTTTGCCCTCTGGGCCCTTTGAGATGTGGCAATTAGATTTCATCTAGTTGCCACCATTGCAAAGAGAGAAATATGTTCTAGTAATGGTTTGTAGGTTTTCTCACTGGGTAGAAGCTTTCCCTTGTCACAGACAGCAGCTTAAGCAATAGGAAAAATCCTTTTAGAAAAGATTATTCCCCACTGGAAAACATCCTTGTAACTTCATAGCGAATGAGGGACCCATTTCACTGGATAGATATTACAGGCCATTTGCCACATTTAGGCAATTATGCAACATTTCTGTCATGCCTCTCCATCCTCAATCCTCTAATAT